TTTTATTTTATTTTCCTAAATTAATAGTAATTTCAATAATAAAAAAATATAAACAAATATACTTAATTACTTTTAATTATATTTTTATTAGTCATTTAATATCAACAAACAACCACTAACCATTATATAATCAAATAGTTATATTAATTAAAATCTACTATTTAGTTGTTGTAATATGCCATTCACCACCTATTACCCACAACTAATTATTTGCTAAATTTTAACTAATGTATAAAACAAGCTATAATATTGATGCAACTCTTGTTTTCTCTCTAGTATATTCGTGGTTTGAAGGAAATTGATGGAGACCAGCGGAGGAGTAGTGGAGAGAAAAATGGAAAGATTATTTGGATAAATAAAATAATTAAAAAAAATTAATGTAAATGACACACTTTTTTTCCCTCTTCTCAAACGTCTAAACATGCTATTAATATCTTCTTATTTATTTTATATAAAAAATGATGGTTTATTAACAAAGTGAGAAAATCTCAAGTCCATATTATAATACATGTGACTTTTTTAATATAAAAAGGATTATTTTACTTATTAAGTTGAATTTATGTCAAAATTTCATATAATACATGTCAAAGCATGTTAATTATGTTCTTGGAATATCTATAATTATTCAGCCTATATGACGGGTCGCACCAAATTGTAAGAGTTGAATGTAGGGTAGTAAGTAAGAGTTGAATGTAGGGTAGTAAGTAAGAGTTGAATTTTTCTTTTGAATTTAGAGAGCTTTTAATGATAAAAAATTAGTAATACATGAATGTGTAACTTAAGATGTCATGTCCTAATAGCTTTTCTTCAACAGATCTACACCACGGACTGTTAGGCAAGTAACAGTTTTGAATACGAAAAGTCATTTCCGTTTCTCGCATTAAAGTCGAATATGAATCGCACTTACGGCATTTAGTGCGATGGAAGTGCATCAATAATTTCGATTTTTTTTTTATTATGAAATATATGAAAGAAAATAATTTTTTTTTATTTTTAAAATTTTTTCACTTAACTTGAGATTTAAATTTAAATTTTTTAATTTAAAATTTTAAACTTTTAACTTTTAAATTATCCTATTAAAATTATCAATAATTTCGATCTCCTTAACAAGAATTCAAACTATATGTACGGTATTATCGTAATTATTTTTAAATCTCTAACTTTGTACCGTTCAAAGAAGAAATAGTGAATATGAATCAAAAGGGTAGGTTGGAATTTATCGAAAAAAAAAAAAAGGGTAGGTTGGAAATTGGACTGGACCTCCAGAAAGCGACTATCCAACCAAACCCCCAGTCGGCGCCTACTATACGGTACCACCGCCAATCTTAAATTCCCAATTTATTGTTTTAATATTATTGTTTTTATTTTAGTTCTCATTTTTGCTAGTCTGTTTCCTTTGGTCCCTTTTTTCTTTCTTTCTTTCTTTTTTTTTTTTTTTTTAATTAATTTGACAAAGCAATGGAACTAAATGCAGATACCTTATTCAGGGGAAGATGACCGAAAGACAAAAAAAACCCTTTTCTGGTGAAGATGCAAGGGACCAATGGAGAAAACAGGGGATAACATCTAAATATATATTGCAATACTATAGTTATATTATTATATAAAATTGTAAACTTATAATTATGATATGATATTAATGAATTGATACATACAATATTATCAATAATTTTTTAAATTAAAAAACTTAATTATATAATAATACATCATATTATAAGTTTATAATATTACGTAATATATATTGCAATACTATTCTCGTTTCAGTTTAAAAAGTTTAGCTTTTTTCAAATTCATCTATAAACTTTGAAAATCATTTCAGATTCATCTACCTAACAAACTTCCGTTAGTTTTTTTAACAGAATCCCATGGCATGCTTATGTGGCACCAATGACGTGGCATATGTAGTTTTGAAATATTATACTTCTTCCTTTTTTGTTCTGTTTTTTTTTTATTTGTTCATATTAATAATGTTTTCACTTTTTAAGTGATATTTTTTTTATTTTTTATTTTTTATTTTTAAATTTGTAATAAATCTATATGTTTTAATTTTGATTAACAACTAAAAAATCATCATTGTCCTTATTATGATAAAATTATATCATTTTTTTTAAAGTTAATGCAGATTAATCTCGACTCCTAAACAAAATTGGAGTTTTAACTAATATTTAGAAATTATATTTAGAAACTGAAATTTCAATTTAAATTTTAAATATTTAATCAATTTCTAAATTTAAATATCAATATTTAATAATAACATAAACTTTAAAATTTTAAATTAAGTTTTAATTAAATAAAATAACGTAATTTAAAATTACGATTAATTTTCTTGGGAGTCAAAATTTAAATGTATTTTTTCCTTTCCTTTTTCTATTTAGTTCAAAAAATTAATTTTATCTGTACTCTCTTTCTCAAAAGAACTTTTTTTTTTTAAATTAAAAACTTAAGGATAATTTATGTTTATTTATATTATCTTTAAAAAGAAATAAAAAGATGAAGAGATACATTTTGTGATGGGATGATTAATTAAAGCAAATAAATAATAATAAGATTAAAGTAAAAAATATATATTTATTATTATCACAAAATGTATTTCTTCTTCTTTTATACCTTTTTAAGGGTAATACAAATAAACATAAATTACCCTTAAATTTTTAATTTAAAAAAATTAAAAAAAATTTTGAGAACAAGATAGTACAAATAAAAATTAATTTTTTGAACTAAATAAAAAAAAGAAAAAAATGCATATCGATCCTGACTCTCAAAAAAGATTAAAGTTTTAACCTTAAATTATTTCATATATTTTATTTAATTAAAACTTAATTTAAAATTTAAAAGTTTATCTTATTAAATGTTAATATTTAGATTTAGAAACTAATTAAATTCTTAATTTTGAATTAAAATTTAAGTTTTTAAATTCTCAACTCTCAAAAAAG